CCCTGCTGATATATTGGAGAAAGTGATAAAACGACGAGATTCATTAATAGAATACTCGAACAGTTTTCCATTAGATGTTGCACGATGCATACACCAAAACTCTGATTTATCAATGAGTTCAAAGTATGGCACTTTTACAATGAAAGATTGTATGAGCAATTGCGAGCAGTAGCGGGAAGACTATTGGATATCAGAGAGAGAAGCTAAGCGAGGGATTTTTATAGTTTCTTAGAGAAGAAAATATTAAGTTGAATGTCGGTGTTTTAAAAATTATCCGTCAGATATGAAATACTAATGCTTTTTGAACTCAGCTAAAGTGTAGTAATGCTATTCTTGTAAAGCGAAATTCCATTTTTAAAATATTTAGAAAGTCATTTGTATTGCTTCTAAATGTAAGAATAATATTCAAGCGTCTCTCAAGTTAATAAATAAAATAATAAATATCCAGACGCGCAGATCATTTACTTAGTCGACGGATTAATTACAGCATCATTTTCAAAGTTAAATTTTGATTTTGAAATTCTTAATACCAAGTTCTTAATAAGCTTCCATCCAATCCATTTCTTCTTTTAGCAAATAATTATCCACTGACTGTTCGTTCCATTTATTCGTTTCGCTAATGGAAACTTCATGGCTCCACAATTATAAAATGAGACTTGGAAAATAATTTTCTTACATTTAGCAGAATTTATTTCCCGGGAGAATTGACTTTTCAAATGCGAATAACTCAAATTCTTTCACAAAAGCAAATATTTTTTAATCCAATTGAGCATTACATTTTACTGCCTTTCATGCTATTAGAAAAAAAAAAAAAAAAAAAAAAAAAAAAAAAAAAAAACAGAAAAGCGTATATAAATATAAAATGTGTGATTAAATAATATAAAAATATACGTTCGGTTAATAAGTTTCATTAAAGTAATCTAAGATTAATTAGCTTTACAAAGAATTTTTCTTCGACTATTTTTTTTTTTATTTGAATTTCTCATAAATTGACATGTCTATAATGTTTTAGAAGCCTACTGCGAATTGATTTCTAACCCGGAACTTATGGATATTTGTAAAAGAAAAAGTAAAAAAAAAATGTGCTAAGAGAAAATATTCCATCCAATCATTTATATAAAATTCGTCTTACATCAAAGTGAAATAATTTCCTTTTAAACAAATTTCTGACACAAAAGAGGTCGTGTACATTTGAAAGAATGAAAAAGAATTTATTAAGCTACTGTGATCTAAGAAATTTCTCTTTGAATTCGCAGTTTCTCTTGGCTCTAATACAAATACTTCCATATTGAAATTCAGCATCCTTAGAAATTGTACGTCGAGTCATAATAAAAGTTAAAATTTCTTCTTTGAAAAATTATTTTTCACACAATAGCAATATTTAAAACAGTTGATTATTTGCTATTCATGACTGGCTCTCTCTCTCTCTCTCTCTCTTTCTCTCTCTCTCTCTCTCTCTAACAACAATTTTCCAATAAGGCGCTCACTCTGCAATGTATTTAATAGAGTATTTAATCGTACGGGAAACATTGTAAGGAAAATTATAATCTTAAATATATAATAATATAACTATAGAATTGAATAGCAATTAAACAATATACACCATAAGAATACAAATATAATACTTTTTGCATTCCGAAGAATTTGTTGTAAAAATTGACAAAACAAGGCATAAAGTATTAAAATATTTCACATTTAATTATTATTCATGGTGAATCGTTTGCAGTAATCCTTTTTTCATTCTCTGCTGTATACTTTTTTCGTCTCGAATTCTTTCTATTTATACTCGGCTGATCCGCGCGATGCATCAACCCGAATTCGACTTGGTTTTAAGATTTTATTTTTCATCCTTATACATTCACGAGTGCTTAATGTTACACGCGAATGGCGTTCGCGAACTTGTTGGATGATCAATCTTCCCGTTCCCTTCCATCTTTAAAGGCGATTATATTTCATAGGACAAACGTCGTCGTATACAAAAAGTTGGTATACAAAAAGTTAGCACATCGAGCTATCGCGATGCAGTTAAAAATGGGAGCTCCGCTAATCCATTAATGACAAAATTTGAAAATGAAAAATACCTAAATATTTAAAGGAATATGAATTATGTAGATGGAATATTAAAAATGTAAATAAATGTCATTGAATTATCTTTGGATGCACTCTAGCTTACGAAAATTAACAATTCAACAATTAAGATTTTTGATATGCAAACGTTTTCCACAAATGTAATATTTATATTCCATATGCATAATTATATTCCAAATAAACAATTTTATATAAGGGAACAAACTTTTTAATATTTAAAAATAAAGAGTTTCACAGTACAATAAATTTTTATTATATGTACTGGCAAGAAAATTCTTGTCATGGGAATTTGGCTTCGAGTAAATCCATTTACAAAAGAGTTTGAGTGTATTTATTTAAAAGTGAAAATTTATATCTCACAATGTAAAGAATGAAGTAATGTTTCGAGCGATAAATAAATTAAAATTTGATGTTTTTTGAACAATTATAAGCAATGATAAATTAGCGATAAATTTGTTAAAAAAGAGCCTTAAATTACCAAACAAAAAAACAAAAAAACAAAAAAAAGATAGAAAAATATTTGTTTCCATCTGCTATGTTGTTAAAAATCATTTGTTTCGAAAGTTTCGTAGTATTAGTATAAAAATATTAATATTTACATAAAATTTAGTTGAGTTCATTAATAACCTTTTCAACAATTTTAAAATGAGAAGGAAGATTAGAAAGTGACGTTGAGTCAATGCGTAACGTTAGAAAGTATAAATATTATGGACTGAAATTATATGTAAATTAATCATTATCTTGTTATAAAATCGTGACTGGAATTTATTTCAAGAATCTGTTAAATAAGAATGTTCTTCAAAATTTCAACGCCAAATCCTGTACAGTTAAGGTTTGTGGTTTGAAAAATCTGCATTCTAGAGATAATGACTCTTTTGGAAATAAAGCAAAATGAAAATGAAAAGTAAAAATAATGAACTGCAAAGGGAAAAGTATCGGAACGTTCGAAGATTAAGAAAATTCGTATTTACATAGAGGGCATTCGAGCGAGTATTCGGTATTTTCATGATCGCACTCTACTCACTCACTCACTCACTCACTCTCTCTCTCTCTCTCTCTCTCTCTCTCTCTCTCTCTCTCTCTCTGTCTCTCTCTCTCTCTCTCGCGTCACTACAGTAAAATCCTTGATTCGCATTTATGGAAGCCGCAAGTTGCAACGCATCTGAAATAATAGAAGAGGCGCTCATCCCGAAGGGCAATGTCACCGCCGCATATCGAGTTACGGGAGGGGGCTTTCGTTGCGGGATCGGTTCCTTCTGCTCATGCGCTTCGTACGCTCGCCTCCCACGCGGAATACCATGTGTTAGCGAGCGATAGAACAATAAAGGTAGAAAGGGAGAGCTACAGGTGGGCCTCCTGAGGCGCTGTAGCTCGCCGAGGGCGTAGATTCCGGTAGTCGGCTGACTTATACGAGGAGATGAGATCCTTTTGTGGCGAGAGGAACGCCCTTTAAAACGCGTCCAGCCTCGCGATATTGCCTGACCATTTCCGGCGTTGCGGAAGAGCTTACGAAACTCGGTGCGCCAATGTCACTCATTATTAATCGCGGTCTACGATTGGCGCTTGAGATGGCGGGAAATTTATCCGACCAAGTGACAAGATATGATGCGCGCCGCTCCTTGTATTAATCAACTTTCTACTCGATCTTTCTATTTCAAATATTTTCTCCTCGTCCGAGCATTTTTCGACGTTTCCTAAAAGCCCGCTCCATTAAATTGGATC